GATTATAATTAGGTGTATCTTTAAATGAAAAATCCAATGGCAATTTTATGATATTCTATGGTCTATGACTATGATATAACAATAACTGGTTGAATACATACAACTCTGTACGTGTGTTGTGTAGAATAATACATACAAACATCTAGGCACTAAGCATCCCAGTTATTTTTATATTTCTTAATTTTAACCAAACGTTTGACATTAGTTACGAATACACCGTTGAGTGTAATCGCATCCAGAGAGACCACGTGGAGGTTGTCAAACTTTCTCTCCGCAAAGAGTCACATAGACCCTGGGGGGGTCACAAAGACCCCGGGGGGATCCCATAGACCCCTCGGGTGAACATTGTATAGTTCTATTAATTATATAACTACCTGTAATCGCATCAGAGGACTTCTGGGTACACAATATTCTTGGTGACGAATCGACCATTTCCATCGCAGTACATGCCGACTCTGACGGATTGCGCATCCCTTATTCTTGAAAATGCAACGTACAGCTGCCCGTGGCTGAAGACGGGAGACGGCAGGAGCAAACCGACTCGGTCAAACGTTTGACCCTGAGATTTGTTGATTGTCATGGCAAACGACAACCGTACTGGGAATTGAATCCGCCTCATTCGAAAAGGCAAATTGTCTTCCTCACCGGAAATCATCGAAGTGGCGGGTAAAATTATGTAGTCCTGAGCGTCATCGGCGCCGGACAACCTCCTCGCCTTGAAGTTGTGTGGCCGCAGTTCGGTGACCACCAACCTCGTCCCGTTGCACAGTTGTCGGTTCGTATCAATGTTTCTCAGCAACATGACGATCGAACCGACCTTGAGCGTCAACTTGTGTGGCGGTAGCCCGTCAATCGGTCAAATCCACAACGTCGCAAACCAGTTGCGGTGGGATTTCGACAGTGTCCGGAATACCGTCGACCGATTACCGAGCTGAAGTAGCCAAGCAGTGAAGTCGGCGTCGTTGTTGGCGCGCATGTTCCTCGTCAGCCGAAACTGTTGAAAGTCTCTCCACAATGAGTGCTGTTTGATAGATGACATGACGATGGAGCTCCTGTTCCCCCGGCGAATGACGGGCAATATCTGCCTGAAGTCGCCAGCTAACAGTATTGGTTTACCACCAAACGGTAGGGCCGATCCCATGATGTCCTTGAGCAAGCGATCGACTACCGTGAATTGTATGCCCGGGGACATGGGCGCTTCGTCCCAGACAATCAGCGAAGCTTCGCGTATCCTTTGCGCGCGCAAAGACTGCAACTTGATGCTCGAAGTAGACTGTTCGGTCAGCGTTCCCAATGGCAATCCGAAAGTCGAGTGCACAGTCATGCCGCCCTCCATGAGGGATGCGGCGATCTCGGTGTATGCCACGCTCAACACAGTTCGTTGTCTGTTACGAAGCGACGATATTAGGCATCCGTATAGCGTCGGTTTTCCCGTGCCTCCTGGCCCGTCGACGTAAAACATTTTCTGGACGTTGCGGTTGTCGTCGACGGCCGCCATCACTCTATCGTAGACCGTTCGCTGTTCGTCGTTCAAGTCGCGCAATCGTTGTTGCCAGACAACGGCCGCGTCTATTGCACCGATCATTAGGTCGTCTTGATCCGGTCCCAGTAGATCTTCGTCTGGATTGGGTAGATCGTAGTCGTCGAGCGATTTTCCTCGTGCACGAAGTAGGTCTCCGATTGCTTTGAGACACGCCGCCCTCGCGCGGTCGACGTTTTGAAAGCGCCGATTGAAGTCTTCCATCATGTTGACTTCGAACCGCCGGTACAGATCCGCGGGGTCCGCGGGATGGCAAAACAATAGTATCGTGACGTAAAGATAACGCAGTTGAGTGGCTGTGTCCACTGTCCAACGCCGATGATTCATACACGCCCGCCACCCTTCGTCGTCTTCCAACAATCCCAACGCAATGGCGGCGGCCGCGTATGTGGCATGCACGACCCCGTTTACAGTCTTCAAGTCTCGGAAAGACCGTGGGCCTCTTCTGTGCAAGAGTAGCAGTCGTAGATGAAAACGGTCTCTATCCAGTGGGTTTACGACGTACATCCGAGACAACGTCTCGCTACGTGCCTGTCTTTGCCGCAGTCTCCACTCTCTTGAGGATGCTTGCCAAGTGTAATGTATCGGTATCTCGTGGTACAGATACTGTCTTGCATCAACGTTTCTCTCGTTAAGCACGAAGAACGCCGTGAGTTTTGTTCGAGGTAGGGCGTTGTTTTGTACCTCCTGTAGTTCTCGTCCACGCGCAAAGTACACGTTGTGGTAGTTTTCTAGGTGAACTGGAAGTCGTAGTCGAAAACTACCGTGTGACTGATGTCGTGTAGTTTATACGCAAACAACCTCCAGACGGCTTCTGGTGGGCTGACGTACCTCGAATTTATGTAACTGAAAACAACATTTATGTATGTATGTATCAAAAATATTCAGAACAGAAAGTTGTACAAAAAAAAGTCAATAGTTATTTAAAATCTCAATATTACATATATATAAAATATTGTCATGAGTAAAATGTCGTAATACTATTGCTTGTGATGTATGTATAATAAATGTAATTATGTCAAAGTATAGCGTAACACTATTTCAGTGTTGATAAAGAAGAATACGATAAATGTTGTTTTTGTTGATCTGGTTCAATATAACAGTATATATATATATATATATATATTAATATTTTTACAATTTGTAACCAATAGAATACATAAAAAAAAGGAAATTGAAATAAATGTATTGTGGTAGGTACCACCTATAGGTTAACTCAAATGTAGTTAAGGTTCACAAAAATAATACATAATACAGAACTTTTAAAATAGTCAATCTATTCATAATAATATAATATGTAAAATCAAAAGTGGTTATAGTTGTACATACATATTATAATTTCTTAAAATAATTTTTTTTTGCATTTCAATTATATTCTATGTACATAACTTAAGACATTAAGACTTAGTGTAATAAGTGTTAAATGGCTTTCAAAAATCTAATTTATTTCTTTAATTTATAAATGTTAATTAATAATATGATGTAATTAATTTCTTAATAATATATACTATTATTAGTGGACAACTACCATAGTGTTAAGTCATTGTAGCGTGAACAGAGAACTGCTTGTCAAATTAAACAAATGAATAACATATATATGAAATTTCTAATTTACAAAGTACCGGTTTCAATAATTTATATTATGCTGAACGGCTTTCCTAAAATGTCTTTACTATTAAGATGATTGAGTATTATATGTAGTTAAGCGAATTGAACTAATGAAAAATAATTGAAAATGAATTCAGTTATTGCTTGAGGAGTACATATTATAATATGAATGATGATTGTTATACACAGTTGTCAACTGGCCATGCTGATACTACTGTAGTGAAATTTCAATTAATAGAAATCATGCATTAAGTGGGCAGTTGTTTTAAGCTAATACTCTAAACAATTTTTTTTTGTAACAATAATATAAAGTTATACATTATATATTCAACAACAACTCTAAATTATTGAACAACAGTAGTTGATACTCTGCTGTTCTATGTTGTGTTTATGTAAAATAATTTAAGTTTACATAAGTTGCAAGTGCAATGTACGTTAGGTTAGGAGGTCACAGTGAGGCCAGAAAACCAAAAAGAACTTTACAAATGCAATAGTTGAAAGAATATAATGTGTTAACTTATTGAAAAATGCGTTTTGTTAACATACCTGTCTATTTCATTTCCGTTCCATAATTCCATGGTCGCAGCATCGTGCCCTTTATATACGTATTTATACAAATACTGAACACTCTTCACAGTAGAGCATACCTCTACGTTAATGTGTGCATCGTATTTTGCTAACAGGTACGGATTTTAAGGCACGACAAACTCGTTGCTGACCTGTTGACCTCTGACCCTGGCCATAGGTCCGTTGTTTGGCCGACGGTACTTTGGGTAACCTCCGTCAGAAATGTATACAGTCTCTTCGCTGTACTCTTTTGGAAACTTCTTTGAACAACTGTTGTCCACCATGCATGGGCTGTTTGGGTTCAGCGTGCCACACGGCCCGTGGACCATGTGTCTCGTCACACAATTGAATAGCCGTGGATCAGTCACCGGATCTGGCAAGAAGGCGCACACTAAATTGTCGACGTCGTCGGTGGTTAGCAACTTGCTGCCCTCACTCAGAATGATCAGTATGTGGGCGTGCGGCAGTCCTCGTTTCTGAAACTCGACAGTATAAACATATGCATCGACATTACCAAATATATTGTTCACTGTTATGTCGCGCATCAGCTGCTTGAGTTTCGCGTTGAACACTCTGGACACCAGATCCGGTCTGTCGGTTGCCGTGGTCCATCTCGGTAGGTTCTCTGTGATCTCCGGCCAGCTAGGATTACACGTAAACGTAATAAAAAGATTAGGCTTTCCACACTTACTCACAATGGCCATCGCGTCATGATAACACTGTTTCATGAAACGGGGAAAACCTGTGAACGATGATGGCAAAGCAGGCAGGCACACCCAAGCTCCAGAACACAGCTGATTTGGAGACAGATCCAAATCAAGTAGACGTGCACAGCACTAACAAGATTCTCCCACCGAGCGTCCAGTGGAAGCCAGCAACCTTGGTACAGGCCTGAGCAGGAATTCAATAGGAACCGGAATTTATGGTTGTCAGGAAAAGGAGACCGAGAGGCAAGAGAAGATCAGTCGAAATCCCAATTGCCAAGCTAAAAAAAAAGCGGGCATGATCTTACAACAACCGACAAAGCTTGCCGCCAGGACTCTCAGGCGTCCTCCGAGAACGCAAGCAGTGTTGATGGAGAAGCCGCCGGACAAGTCCTATTCTGACATTGTCAGAGAGGTAAAGGAGTCTACCCTGAACAAGTCCCTAACATTCGACATCATAACCAAGAGAGCGAAGTCGGGCAACCTGGTCTTGGAGACCAGCAACAAGGAATTCAAGCTGACAGTCTAGCCAGTGCACTAAAGCTCAGCTTTGGAGACCCAATGGGGATCTGTCTCCCATCTTAGTGCGTCGCTTTGCTGCTAATTGGCATCGAGGACTCCGTGGACGAAGCTGAGCTCAAGAGTGCTCTTTTGGCCCATGACCACGTGCTAAATCCGTCAAACGAGATAAGGATCCGAGAGGGCAGGAATGGAGTCAAGAGGGCAATTGTCAGAGTGCAGATCTCTAAAGGGCAGAAACTAATCCGCCTCAAGAAAGTTCGGGTTGGCTGGGCCATCAAGGAGATGCTATCCAATTGCCGTGTCAACGCGGAGGCGGTCATCGACTTGACGTTTGCTCGTTTCCCACCGAACCTAATCCCCCCACCCAGTAGAGAACTGGTCCATCCTCACGGAGCTCGACTCTTCCAGCGGCCACTTCTATGTGGAGTTCACCGTGACCAACTCGTCTGCAGCCACAGCAAATACAAAAAAAAAAACTGTTTTCTTAAGACCAACTATTATAATTATCATTTATATTTCTTTTTGTTTGTTCTATATTTTTTAACTTTTTTTCAGCGTAGGTACACCTCTCAAAATGACGCTGAGGGATCACAATTATGTCATCCCAGCCACCATCCAATCACGAAGAAGAAGAAGCTGGTGCTCCTAACATCCACCTGCAAGATCACACCTATGCCCGACAGTTGCCTGTAGTTCAGATTCAGCCCCAGCAGGAAGAAGATAGAAACGCCCAAGAAGATGGAATAGCACCTGATGAAGAAGAAGCTCCAGTACATGATGAAGAACAAGAAGATGGACCAGCATCTGATGAAGACCAAAACAACGGACCACAAGACCTTGTCATATATGCAGAACCAAAAACATACAGAACAATCCCCGGCATTAGACTCAACTCAAAATTTTATTTTGATTCAATAATTGTCGAAAATCGGCAATGCAGAAAGTACACACGAGTATTGTCAGTACAATAAATTGAACATAAAACATTGCACTAGTGACCAGTTCACTAAATATTGATTATTGGTGCAAAAAAGAGGTCAAACCGAAAACGTTATTAGAAAATCATTGTAGGTGTCACTTTCTGTTTTTATTAAATGCGTTGTTGTTATTTTTCCATGATATGTATGCTTTACTTTTTTTTATAACCCAACTCAGATACTTACTCAGTAGCACGGTTATCTATTGTTCTTGAATTTTCATTCGACCACACGGACTAAAGATAATAATATCATATTTATTCGTGAAATGTGTGTTCGTCATTCATGAATCGTTTAACGTTTTGCGTTTTAAAATTACGGGACACTTAAACCCACTTCTGAACTTTAACTATTTAAGGCCTGCACAACGATGGCCAACGATGAAATGGGCATATTTAGACTGTCCAAGTGGGCGTTTCACACCCTCCCCAACTTCCAGCGTCTTAAGTATTACAAGTTGAATGTACCATGCATGTCGTTGTTAAAAATTGTCAAGTTGAACACCGAAGGCGGTCACTTTGACCCGAACGCCGATAGGCAGTCCATGTTTGACAAGGTGAAGTCCATCAGCAATCATAAGTTCGAATACATATGCACAACAGCCGTAGGTAACGATCACATCGATTGTCTTCAGTTCGCCCACAAAATTGGATGCAAATGGGACAAATTTACGTCCGCCAGGGCCGAGGGGACCAGTTCGGAGTGTTTGATGTACTTACAGCCCAACGGGTGTGAATGGGATCAATCTACGTGTACTTAAGCCGCGACATCGGGGTTCTTGGAATGTCTCCAGTTTGCACATGGGTATGGGTGCCCGTGGACTGAATAGACGTGCTCCGGAGCCACATATTCAGGTAAATTGGACTCCCTAATGTATGCACATGCCAATGGTTGTCCTTAGGACGAGTCGACGTGCTCCAAAGCCGTCATTGGTGGGAACTTGGAATGTCTAAAGTATGCTCATGAGCATGGATGTCCTTGGAGCTAATCGACAATAACCGACGCCGTGGTCAATGGCAAATTTGACTGTCTAGTAAATGCGCGAAACAACGGTTGTCCATGGGAGGAAGACTTTCTGCTATATAGCCGCAGCAAACGGTAACCTTAATTGTTTGCGTTTTGCTCATGAAAATGGCCGTCCATGGAATATATATACGTGCGCCATAGCTGCAGCGTATGGGCACTTGGACGTTCTTGAGTACTTGCATGAAAACAATTGTCCTTGGGACACATTAACGTGTGAAATGGCTGAACAGTTTGATGAAATTGAATGCTTGCAATACGCTACCTCACATGGATGTCCATGGATCAAACCTTCATTCAGCATTGAGTAGAAATCTACTATTTATTGCATACACGCATGAAAACAAACATTCAATGCTTGTCTGTTGTAAATTAACTTGTATACTATATTTAATTAATTATTATGCTTTTTTATTGTGATATTTTCATTACCTAGTTTCTATATTATGTACCCAAGTCAAGATTTAATGAGTAAAAATAAATGTTAAGTAGGTACCTAGTTAAGTAATATTGTAATGTATATTTTAATGTTTAAGGTTTATATTATGATAAGTAGTTACTTATCCAATATCTTGTACCTATTATATTTCGACCAAACACAATTTTGTTTACCGTAGTATTATTTACAAACGTATATGTATGCGCACAGGCAGCAGTGTCCGCTGCAAGATTGTCTGCTACTGTATACTTTCAAATTTGTGTCATATTTAATTATATTTTAAATACAATTTTTATTTTTTGCAAATTGTGTAATATAACATTTTTTACGAAATTACAAAGACTCAGAATTTTTTAAGTTTTGATAGAAAATATATTATAATTGTTTCAATAATAAAAAAAAACGACGGACCACAAGACCTTGTCATAGAATAGATGCAGAATCAAGAACATACAGAACAACCCCCGGCATTAGACTCAACTCAAAACTTTATGTAGATAATTGGAGATTCAATTATTCTCGAAAGAAGTAACTGATTACTAAAATAAGTTTAATTCGTGAGCGACGAAAAAATCCCATAGGTCCTATGTGCCATGCTTCAGCATCAATCAGTAGAAATGTGAGGGACGACCTACTTTCTATAGCAACTCGCCACAATCATGATCCAGAAGCAATTGACTTAGATGTACTATTCTTGAGGAACGCAATCGGCAAAAGAGCTGTTGATAGCACAACTACAACCCCATCACTTCGAAGTCTGTATAACAGCGAAATAATTAAGTGAGTTCATTAACTTAATTGCTGTGGTTAAATAGGTATAAGTATATAAATTATGCTAAATACATATTAATTTGTTATACTTTTGGTAGACATCCTCATGCTGCCATAAACTATACATTCCTCCAGACACAATCGAGAGCTAAAAGGATAAGACAATCAAGACGCCCACAGTTGCCTCGGGATATCCACGAACTGTTATAAAAGTTGAGTTTTCATTCACTATTTTTAACTTTACTATGTGTGAACTCTTCAATTCGATATATTTTCTAATAAATATTTAATACAATGAAAATTTAACGACAGTGGTGATGATAGGAATTAATTTTTAAAATATTTTTTAAACATAATACCAAAACATCAACTCTCCAAACACTCCAATCAAACTGATGAAGAATTGTACATGGAAATTTGTCAGAATCTTCAGGACATGATAAACACACATACCTACAAATGAAAAATTTTACAAAAAAATTAATGACCCAAATCCTTTCGACATTTTAGATACTATTAGACCACAACATTTTTATCCTCCCACAACCTGCAAAAGTGAATTTATCTCTACAGAATACCCAAATTAACCCATGTTTTATATTTAAGTAAATAATTAAAATTGTTTAAAAATGACAGACTTATTATCTAGTATAAATTACTAGTATATTGATTAAAATTAAAGTTGCAACCATGTCTCATTATTTTTGCAGCACCCACATCATCGTCATTATCAATATCATCAGTTGAATAAATGCCCAGTTCTAAAATATAGTAACAAAATAGTTTTAATTATATGGTTACTAAGACTTAAACGCATATAGTATATTATTACCATCTAATGTTCTTTTAAACTCCAATTTGCATATATCGCATTTCCATTGTGGATCTACATGTTTAGCCATATGTCTAATCCAATGTGATCTGTACATCATGAATGACTTGGGGCACAGCATGCATCTGAACATTTTTTTCGTTGGTTTCTTTTTCACTAAATACAAAAAAAAAATTTTCAGGTCTTTACATAATACATTTACAAACATTTTTTGTCCGTTTGATCGGTTCTTATTATCAACAAACATCTTATCAATTGTTATCATGGTATCAATCATAATATAAAACTATCAATTATGTTATTTACCACAATGAGATCGCAGACCAATGAAATTATTCTGATAACAGCAGGCTGACGGCTGGAGTCTCGCCGTGCTTTTTCCTACGTATGTTGGCGAAGACGCTTTTTCACTGTACTCTCTGCCTCCCAAATATCGTAGGCGCACAAACCACGTTTATTTGTTACACGAACGCCATTCTACATTGTCGTAATTAATTTAATTTGTAGTAATCGTCACCCGTATTATAATAAGTATAAGTACTAATAATGGTGGATTCCATACATATAAAACATAAATTATAAATAATGTTAATGGTTAAAATATAAAAATTGTGACAAACAGTGTATTAAATTATCCACCGTTAATATCTATGTCGGAAATGGTTGTCAACGGCTAGTTTAAAAAGTGAGCAGTAATCATCCAAACTGTACAAGACGTGAGACTTCTAAATTCCACGGTGAAACCAATTAATAATTATTATTAATAGCAAGTATTTATATGTTCTTGCTGGTATTGTCAGTGGATTAGGGCTATCTATAGGCGATCACCACTATGAAAAAAACGCTCTCTTTGCAATGGCCCCATACCAGGGCGGTGTGGAACGATTGCAAAAATGTTTTTAAAATTCAACAAACTGCAAACATTAAATAAAAATCCATGATGGTTGTGATTCAGATTTCAGAGTAAGTATAGTACATGAATATAACACAAATAGTTGTATTTTAAATATAATTAAAACATTTTTGTTTCAGGTAGACACTTGCCACCGACACCGCAGATCACTTCCACAGTTCCACTAATAGATTTTACAATAGAAACTATAACATTAACTTTTAAAACTGCTGTACCAAAATTAGACAATCACAATTGAGGTTATATAAAACTTTTTTGTTTCAAGTACACTGATGACCCTCCGCAATTTATTGGTTTATCGTTAGCGCGAGTCGTACCGATTACGTAACATTCCGTTCCCCGCACCTGCAGATCACTTCCCCGCCATAAAATACCTTAAATATTGGTTTGCACCAAACAGAATAAAATTTTAAAATGATCATAAAACTTAGCTCTATACGATGATAAATTGCAAGATATCTTTGGTCGAATTAGGATTTAAAATATTTTATTTTTTCAGCGGTGTCGTGGCAGTCACCATGGGCAGGAATCCAACTCCGGTGAAAAAAATGTATTTTTCATCGTAATTTGGCCAATGATATCGTGCATTTTATACTTATAATCGTATAGACCTAAATGTTATGATCATTTTAACGTTTTTTCTGTGCCAATGGGCAGAGTACGTAGTGCATGTTTTATACATGTAATAGTTGAATTGTTTAAATCATTATTTTTATCTTATAGCAACACCCATTAGTATGTCGAATGAGAGTGCTGCAATAGACTTGGAAGACACGCCAGAGCAGCCACTGGAACAACCGATCGTCGACAGTACCCCTGATGGGGGGGATGTCAATGAGCAGAGTGAGTAACGCATGTTTTATACATATAATAATTAAATTATTTAAATCATTATTTTTATTTTATATCAGTTACTTCACCTAGCTGGAGCGCTCACATTCTGGCTGCAGCCAATGATTTTTACACAACATTATTGCCAAACGCAAAACCGCACAGTACGGGGATGATCAACCTTATACCTATCGAAAACACCTATAGCAACACATATTAGTATGTCGAGCGAGAATAGAAGAAGCACCAGTTGGCCAGACACACCAATACAACTACAGGACCTTATAATTTCCTATATACACAGAGTGGCGGTGTGACCGGTTACAGATATACGTTTGATATTAATTATTCGAATTTATGATGTAATTTGTTTAAATTTGTTGAACTAGATAAATAAGTAAATAAGTACAGTTTACTTTAAATTCAGAATGTATTGTACTCCTGTTATTTAAAAGATACAATACATGAACATTTTTTTTTAGCAACTTATCAAATATATATGTATTATGTACTTGTCCTTACCTGGTACCAGGTGTTGTGTTTAAATAATAACTTATATTTTCTTGCAATTACTATTATGTATTTTCTTTTCGTACTCCTAGTATAAATTGTAATTAATAATAAAAAAAAAGCAAGTAAGTGGATGTCGCTCTGCTGTACAGTAGGATTACAAGTGGGTCAATGTATAATGGATTGTATTAAACTTGAATTCAATGATATAATATCATTGTATAAGAAAAACGATTCTGAGCGGAGACGGTTTATACAGCTGGATTTTTAAAGTTTTTATCATTTATTATATTCTTTATAATATTGAACTAATACTATAATATTAAAAATTGCATTAAATAGTTTTGGTTTATTTTTTAATGCTACGATGATTGATAATTACTTTGCTAACAATCCTGCACAAATTCAATTAGCAATGTAAAAGTTAAAAGAGAACAAGTTAATTCATGATGACACAATTGCTGCATTAGTAAAGATTATTAATAAACATTCTAATTTTTACAGTGCAGCAAAGGAATATGTCGACTCTTTGCCAGCATACAAAAACAAAATAAACACTTAAAATCAAAAATGTATTCATTGACCTACAATAAAATAAATTCTGATACATGTCTTCAATCTTATATTGAAATATGCCACACAAAGTGAGATGTATATTTAACAATCATAACAATCAATATTATTTACTATAGCTAATATTTAATTTTTTTAATATTCAGAGTTGTACCAGCTACCATTGACCCCGAATTTATTGTAGATGCTGATGGTTTATTTAAAGATACACCGATTTTGAAACTAATGAAATGGCAATTGTATAAATGAAATATTCCATACTGGTTATGGTTGAAAGTACAGGTCATGCCTAGAATAAATAAGAAGGAATTCATTAATATTCTAAATGCATTGTTCATTAACAAATGGGTTATCTTAAATAAATTTGTAACTTTCGAAAAGTAAGTCTTGGAAATATGTTTATAATAGTAAATTTCTATATATTTAATTTTATATATTACAGCAATGATACATATACTGAGTATACATCAAAAGTCATATGTAAGGCAGTAATGCTGCATATTAGATGTTGCCGGACAATTAAATGCTATAATTTTGTAAATACTTTGGAACACTTTAAAATTGGAATTAACTCAACGAACTGTTATTCTTATTATTTGTTAATAAGATATAAATATTATACATTTATAAATGATTTAAGAAATTACTCGAAGAACCTTTATTTCGATGTCCATGATGCTTTTTTGTAATATTATTTAACTTGCATTTTACATATAAAATAATATAACACATATCATAATAACAATATTTATGCAAACAAGTGTCACGATGAGCATGATGTGATCAGAGTACAAACAATAAATGGCAAAATTATAAACTTTACCACAAATTTTAATAGTATTAATTCAAATTATGAATATGAAGAGATGATGGTTCTGATTTTCCTTAGAAAATATATTCAGAACTCAGAAAAAAAAATCGCACAGTAATCATATAAATATTCATTAGATGTTCTATGAATCCTTACATTAATTATCAATAATACATACATACAATACCTATATACATTTTAGGTGAAATATATATGTGAGACGTGAGTCATTCGAATTAATACATTATAACAAGGGATGATTCATATCACAATAGTAAATCGTTAATTCAACACACATTAAAGTCACTCGTAAAAAAAAATATAGTAGTCAGAAATTCAAAAAACAAACAAGCATATATATATTCTATCAATTTAAACAATTCAGATACAATTAATATTTTAAACTATGAAATTATGAAAATTAAGGAGGACGATATAATTAAACAAATTCAATATATGAAAGCCGAAAAATATTTATTTTATGCATCAATGTTTAAGGTAATGAACTTAATCTTAAAACTAATTTACTTGTAAAGTAAAGTATATTTACTGAATTTTTTAATTTACAGATGAACACAAAAATGTTCTTTGGAAAATTTTGTTTTCCAGACAAACAAGATGCCAATAAAATAAATATAGATATGTGGAAAGAGAAAATTCATATTATTGAACAGAATACCAGACATATTTTGAAAAATAATTTTGATATCGAATACCTACACTCTGTTTCCAAACTTTATTGATATTTATAAAAACTTATTTTACGAGTATAACAATACAATTTCAGAGGCTGTAATATGGTTAAATAATGAAAATCGCTGTTTGTCAAAGAGTATGGTAATATCAGAGTTAATTCCCCCCCCCCCCAAAAAAAAAGGATCTAAAGGCATATTTGGCACCAGCATCATTTTACAATAGGTACCTATATTATATAATATAATTAATATATTTTTATAATCATAAATGAATACATTTGTTTTACGTTTAGGATAAAACTTGACGAATAATATATGCCTTATGCATTATATTTTATATAATTATATGTTTTATTTAAGTACTTACATTTTTATAATTTTACAATTTTATATGAATATACATAAAGTTAATGAATTAATATGTTTTTGGAACTAACCATGTTTTTTGAACTGTTTTTGGCATATACTGCAATGGTAGCGGTCACCCTTGTTTGGACACTCTTCACAGGGTGTAGACTCGGCTAGCACCTGTCTACAATGATGGGGCTTGTTGCGATGTACTCTAAAAAATAGCGAAAACAAAAAAATTTAGGTATAAATTATTGGTAAGTACATGGTGCATTGTCCGCAATGATTGCTTGCCAAATGGCACAGGAATATTGATAGGTTCTTAAATTTAATATTGCAAGCATCACAATAATTATTGTTCATGTTTTTTTTATACTGAGTATAAGTATTCAGCGACGGGCTGCCGACATAATCACATTATCAACATACATCTTTCACTTGTTAAACTGTTATCAATTATTTTATTTACCGCGTTCATATGATAAGGTTCACCGTGTTTACATTACAGAAGATAGCGGTAGATAGCTATCGGTTTATAATTCATTAAAAATCATGATTTTGTACTACTACTGGACTGTGGTGTTTTTTAATTTATATATTTCTTACATCTTGGGGTTTTTGTTTGTCAATATGGATAACTGGTAGTGGGGTTGTTTTTCAGATTTAAGCAAGTGCAGTCTGGTATTGTGTAATCTGATACTATGTATCGTCTGGAGTCTATTAATTTTTATGTGTATGATAAAAGTCATATCTTTATGAAACCTTTGAGGATTGAAGCAGAAGCGTACCTAGATCATTTTAGATACTTTATCACAGCTATCACATACATACGGCTTTTCTTCGGTATATATCTTTCTATGACTTGTTAAATAATGTTTGAGAGAAAACACTTTATCACAGCTATTACATGCATACGGCTTTTCTTCGGGATACATCTTTCTATGACTTGTTAAATTATGTTTGAGAGAAAACACTTTATCACAGCTATTACATGCATACGGCTTTTCTTCGGGATACATCTTTCTATGACTTGTTAAATTATGTTAGAGAGAAAACACTTTATCACAGCTATTTCATGCATACGGCTTTTCTTCGGGATACATCTTTCTATGACTTGTTAAATTATGTTAGAGAGAAAACACTTTATCACAGCTATTACATGCATACGGATTTTAATTTACCCAACTATATTTTCAGCTTTTTGTACTAATTTATCTAGTAAACAATATGTTAAGACTTTATAAGTCGTATACATATAATAAAGCAATACCTCTGAAATTATTACATTTTTGCGGGTCTCCTTTTTATAATTAGGACAAATGATGCTGTACCCCATTCTTTCGGGGGTTGTTCCTCAGACCATTTATTCTCGATGATGTCATGTATTATATTTATTTCTATATCATCCAGATTTTTTAGAATTTCTCCCTGATATCTATCTTGTCGGTGTTTTATTGCTTTTTAGTCTATTAAATTGGTTTACTATTTCTATCCTACCTGGAGGTGGGCATTCAATGTCGTTAGGGTCTGATGTTATCCATGTGAAAGTTTAAGGAGGGTTATCACAGTTAAGCAGTTGGTCAAAATAATCTCTCCATTTTTCTAGAATCTTGTCTTGTTCCGTAACTACATAGCCATCCTCATTTTTTAAGAATCTTTCATGTTTTTTGTACCCACCCCTAATTGAGTTAGTTTTCTTATACAGTTTACGAGTTTTGTTAACTCTGTGGTTGGTCTCGGCTTCCGACAGTATACCTTTCGTGAATTTACGTTTTTCGAATCTAAATATATTATTTGCCTCTTTTTGGAGTTCTTTATAAGTAGATTAATTCTGTCTGAAGGAGTGATCATTGATCCATTGTAATATAGCTTCTTGCCTTCTGTTAAGTGCCTCCTCACAAGAAGTGTTGAACCAAGGTTTCTTCACTTTCTTTTGTTTACCTATCGTCGTATCTGTAACCACTTTTAAGGTTTCCTTTATTGCCTTCCATTTGCAATCTAATTGGTTTATGTGTAAGTTAGACATAGTTTCATCCATCCGTTGTTTGAAAAATTCACATACAGTTTGGTCTTTAAATTTATTAACTTCATATCTGTCCACAGTTGCACCTTTCTTAACTGCCATTTTTTTAAGTTTCACATTTAGCTTTCCTTTTACCTGGCAGTGCTCCTCTGACTGTTTTAACATCATGTATACAGTTTTTAAACCATGTGTTAATCATAACATGGTCTATTTGATTAGTATATCTACCATTAGGCACTTTACAAGTCCCCTTGTAGATGTATTTGAGTGGGAACATTGTGCTTTTCACAACAAGTCCTCCCACACTTGCAAAGTCAATAAGTTTAAGTCCGTTTTTACTAGTTATGTTATGTATGCTATGATTACCAATAGTTGATCTGGATATGTTTTCCTTTCCCAATTTGGCATTAAAATCGCCTAAGACTATCCTAATTCTATTTCAAGGGGTTTCATTTAGGATTTGTTCCAGAATATCATAAAAGGTTAGGTTAGGTTAGGTTAAGTAAAGGTTAGGTTAAGGAGGTCAAAATTCCTAGTAGTTTTCAAAAGCAAGGGAAAAACCAAAAAAAATAAGAATGGAAAAATGGAAATTTTTAAACAAAATCATATTCAGTTTCAAATTTAAAAAAAAATATATTAATAATTTTCCAAATATGATATTAAACAAATAACAATAATTCAACTTAACCTTCTACCATATTAATAATAACAATATAAATATACTATGAAATATCTTAGGCTGCCAAACCGTCTTTCTGGTTAATGAATAAGTCAGTAAGTATAATATAACTTATTATAATACATAATTACATAAGACATATTTCATACAGCAACATGTACATTTAAAAAAGAATCACAATGTTCAAAGTACATACATTATACATATCTAGGTGTAAGACTTAAATCAATCAATTTCAAGATAATATGTAATTCATACTGACTTCAATATATACATTTAGATTTAACAAAGTATAATGTTTATACATTATACATATCTAGGTGTAAGACTTAAATCAATCAATTTCAAGATAATATGTAATTCATACTGACTTATATATATATATTTAAGATTTAACAAAGTTTAATGTATATACATTATAAATACCTAGGCCCTAGGGTCTAGGGATAAGACATAAATCAACTAGTTTTAAGATAATAATATGTAGTTCATACTGCAGCATGTACATTTAAAAGAGAATCACACTGTAATAATGTTATACTTGTTATTTTTGTTTGGGTTAATTTATGGCATTTGTTGGCATTTAACTGAAGGAAATTCCCTTCTTTTGGTTAAGAAAGAACTGGTTTATAAACTTCTTTCAGTCTCACACATATATCTCCCGAGTTAAGATCTGTGTCAGTGTTAATACTAACTTTACATTTCTACATACGATGGAAATCATTAACCAAAATAAAAATACCCCCAAATTATGTTTAGACGGTTGCATGTACGTTATAAAACATACTGGGATAAGTAGTATTACATGGAGTTGTTGCAAGGCAACCATGCTAAAATGGTCCCTGGACCCGTTTATTCAAATATCGAAATTACGAACATTCAGAAAATTGGAATAGATCATCTTATCACACATAGGCCAAACCAGAAACAGGTTGTGGTTAGCAAGTGAGCACATATTTTTGGAGAATGTGTGACAAAATTAGACGACAAAAGTCATATGCCACCTAAAAGCATAGTCAAGCGTACACACCGGAACCAAGGAACAAAAAAATACCCCCTAAACTCTGATGAAATTGTTGTTAAGTATCAATAAATAAATATGATTAAATATATACATACTAGATTCTGGTGTTTGTCATCCCGCCTGCGGCGGAAAGACTGTGTGGGCGGTGGTGCATCTTTGTCGTAGCTGCCCGTGTGCCTCGATTCCGGGCGTTGGGGAAGCCTTCGAGGTGGTCGAGTGAAAATCGTTTCACGGGAAATTCGAAAAGTAATTAAACCGTACCGAAAACTGTGACTGAGTGTCTAGCGGTCTCTCCTCGACTGTTGTAATACCGTGCCCCGGTGTATACCCGGTTCTGTTTTGTTGACTGTATAAGAAATTAGGAATTTCGAATAATTGTAATCGAATGTCTAGCTATCAATCATCGTTGTATGCAAATCCATGAGTTATAGGGCATATGTGTATGGCGGATTGGATACATGACCCGTATCATGCCCTGTTCTTTTGTGCGTGTAAAAAGGATAAATGCATAAAGAAAACGGTAATTGTGTGTCTAGCTTTCAGTCCCCAACCAGTACAAATTTGTGCGTTTACTGGGCATACCTCCTAACATCGATAGTCAGAAAACGTATTATTGCAGGAGAAAATGTTAAAGCCAAATGTCAATTGAATAAAAAGGTTAAGTAGTCGATTTAAAGGCAATCATACTTCCCAGGTATATAGGTGTCTGGTTGCAAACGACCTGTGCATATGAAATGAAATTAAAACATTACATAAAGCTAATTAAATGCTCTAATTAAATTAATGTAGGTGTGGCGTACCTATCATAACGTTATTAAGCATTTGGTACAGTTAAATGAATATATGTGTAGCCTATAAAACATCGGTTAATTGTATCATGTTGTATATTATATGTGTGTTGTGCACATGCTTATAGTTTTTGGTTTTTAAAACTGTTTTGAATACTATCAATCACAATCTTTTACAATTTTAGGTTTAATATAAGCAAGTAGTAATAATGTATAATATTAATAATAAAAATAATAAATATGAACATGGATTGTTTGTTTATATTAGTTATATTTTTTATATTACAAATAATATATATATAATCAATTAGGTAATACTAATCAGTATTTGCATAATATTTTTACAATGAAAATTTTTTGCGGTTGCAAAATATCTAATCATACCTCATTATGTTGATTACATACAAAAGACATTGCTAAGAAATACAAATTCAAACATACAATATAGTGTAGTTTAATGATGTTTAAAAAAATTAAATTGATTCGTGAGTCGACTGCAATACGTAGGAATCAAACATATTATACATGCAACAAAATTGAAAATGTCTTACAAACCTATTGGTCATAGTAGAATAGATATATGCTTTTGAAATTATAATAATTTGTGTATGAAACTTACTATTAATCAATTTAAAAGTATATATAAACACATATATCTATATATATGCATGTGGTACATCGGTTGCAAATTAACAATTAACAATGAATAATAATTAAGTGTTAGGTGTAGGAATGATTAACAGAGTGTGGTTTAGTTACAAATTAGTAATCATTATTGATACAATGATGATTCTTTTTGTTGTGTTTCTGTTACATCAGCATTGATGAAGTCTTTTCCAGTATAATGTTTTTGAAATAATAAAAATGCATACAATTATTTACTGATATATTTTGAGAGTACATACATAATTCTAAATAATTTACCACATAGTGTGCGAGTCGCAGCTAGTTTAAATGCATTTTTGACATTTGATAGAAATACAATAACAAAATCCGCATCAAGAGAGAAGCACATATAGGTTGTCGAATTCCCCCTATGTCATAGTAGTTGTACAATAATGATTCTGTTGCTGTTACACGTACATTGATGAAGTCTTTTCTAGTATAATAATGTTTCTGAAATAATAAAAATGCATACAATTATCTGCTGATATATTTTTAGATTACATAAATAATTCTAAATAATTAACCACCTAGTGTGCTAGTCGCAGCCAGGTGAAATGCATGTTTGACATTTGATACAAATACAATAACAAAATGCGCATCAAGAGATAAGCATGTAGACTGTAGAGGTTGTCGAATATTCCCTATGTCTTAGTAGCAGTACAATAATGATTCTGTTGCTGTTACACGTGCATTGATGAAGTCTTTTCTAGTATAATAATGTTTCTGAAATAATAAAAATGCATACAATTATCTGCTGATATATTTTTAGATTACATAAATAATTCTAAATAATTTACCACCTAGTGTGCTAGTCGCAGCCAGGTGAAATGCATGTTTGACATTTGATACAAATACAATAACAAAATGCGCATCCAGAGAGAACCACGTGGAGGTTGTCGAACTTTCTCTCCTCCTCAAATCGTACTTACGACTGCTTATGAACCATGTGTCACACAGACTTGTCACACAGATTTTTGTCACACAGATCGGATCAATGTTCATTAAGTTCTTGTAGACTTCATTGTACAGTTATATCGCTTGTAGAACTTCTCTGTACACAATGTTCTTAGTGACGAATCTACCACGGTCATCACTGTACATACCAACTATAATGGATTGAGAGTCCCTCACTCGGGAAAACGCTACATACAGTTGTCCGTGCGTGAACACCGGTGATGGCAGGAGCAATCCAACTCTATCAAACGTTTGTCCCTGTGACTTGTTAATGGTCATAGCAAACGACAAACGTACTGGAAATTGCACTCGTCGCATTATAATGGGCAGGTCGTCTTCGCCACTCGACGTGAGCGGTACCGCAGGTATGACTATATCTTCCTGCGCACCACCAGACAACATCCTCGCTTTGAAGTTGTATCGCCGCAGTTCAGTAACAACCAACCGTGTACCATTGCAAAGACGTCTCTTAGAATCTAGGTTCCTAAGCAACATGACAATAGAACCGACCTTTAGCGTCAAGTTGTAAGGCGGTAGTCCGTCCGGTTGCAGAGTGTTGAGAAACTCTGTCGGATAATTGGATACTTCGTCGGGGTCGTCGACCACCACAGTGTCTATGGCCGTGTATGTTCGGTGAACTCCGTCAATGCGTTGTAACACCGTATTATTGACCTGCCTGCATTCGTCGTTCCTGGGACATAAGATTATTTTCAGAGCAAACTCATTGACGTTAGCCAACGACATTCGCTGCGGAAAAACAAAATCAATCAAATTAGCAACCTCACATACCATTTCCCGGGGTATTTCAACAGTGTCCTGAACACCGTCGACCGCTGGCAATTGGCCGCTCCCGAGCTGAAGCAACCATGTTGCGAAGTCAGCGTCGTTATCGGCGCGCATGTTCCGCGTCAAATTGAACTGTTCCAGGTTGCGCCACAAAGAGTTGTATTTGATAGACGACCTGACGATGTCACTCCTTGTTCCCCTGCGCACGACAGGTAGAATCTGTCTGAAGTCGCCGGCGAACAATACCGGCTTACCGCCGAACGGCAAT